GCAATAATATATAGGGTGTTCCGGAAGTGGTACGTAGACGCCATTATATTAGTTGAGAAGGGCATGCTCGAAAACCAGGTATCCCAAATTTTCAAAATTCAAATCGAAGTAGTCTCTGAAATAATTCTAATGGGCCATCACCGTGAGGCACCCTGTGCCTATACCAATTTATTCTACTGCATGTTATGCCAGATTAAAAATGTAGAAAATAAAATAAAATAAGCCACATCCATGTTACCACTACACATTTCTACATTATCTTAACGTGGACGCCGTTTTTAACGTATACAGCGAACGTATCTAGCACAGCACCCTATGTGGCCTTACCATAAAATGGTTCTCGCCACAGGAAATCAATTTAATACTTTATTAAAACCACAACGAAGGATTTACCCGCCACTGGAGTGTAGAAGGGAAAATGAATTATTCCTCCAATATACCCGACTCTTTCCAGTTTCCACGCCAACACACGCTGCCTCTGTTTCGTTTCTTCAACTTGGCGGCCGTAAATAACGTGGTCCGGGTAATAAAATTGCTTGATTTACGGAGTCTAGGTTTATTAACCGGATCGTTTTGTGTAGTTAAAATCCATTACGGGCCTTCTTTGCGAGATTAAATTAAAATTTAAATTTAGAAGGGAATTAGTACACTGTTCCAGTCAGGTCCATTGCAGGCAACGTTAATTAGAATTGTGTTTTAACCCGGCTTTGAAAGAACTTTACTGTTTAAAATAAAACTCGTGAACTCTCGTGTTGATCTATTTTACGGTTGAATTAAAAATTAAGGGATTGTTTCCTGGTTATCTAGAAACTCACGCGTTTGTTAAAATGTGGATTGTAATTTTTTGAACGCCTAAATTCTTCTAATATGTCTTGTTTAGGCTAGGTTGATGGGGAAAGTTCTACAAACTTTTTTAGATACAAAACTAATCTAGACAGCTATTGCTAAGGAAAGGTTATAGAGACTGAATTACAACTCATCCAAAAAAAACTTTAGGGATATACCAAGGCGTCATTAAAAAATAGAAAAAAAAGTTATCTAAATTATACAAGGTGTTCGCTTTTTGAACGTACTAACGTTAACAGTTGACAAAGAAAAATCTACGACCTAAAAAACATCAAGTAATAACGAAACCAAATAAAGTATGTCTTGTGGAGACACAATATTCTTTAAACATGACCTAAAAACTATTCACTACAACCACTAGTGGCGTGGTAGACGGGTAGTCAGTGCCCTTTTTTTTAAAAGAATTTCTACGCCTATGGGTTTACACTTGTATTAGAATGTAGGGTAGAAATAAACTAATGCAAAAAATTAAAGGGTCAAAAGAATTTCCGAAATTTTCCCGTGAAAAATGGTTGTATCAGGAATTAAAAAAAAAGCAGTTTGAATCTCTACGATTCTAGTTTTTAGATCTTTCAGTCGAAATTTTTTAGGAGCTACGATTATCATACAATTCTAAGAAATAGCGCCACAAAAAAATTTCCACGGACTTGGAAAAATTTTTGTCAGTTAAGGCATTGCATGGACCAGATAACTTGTTTATTTAGCTTCAATTTCCTTTTTTTTAATTTCGATGCGAGCATTTTTCATGAAAATATCGGACTTTTAATGGAAAAGGATCCTTTTGTCTTCAAACATCGATATTTTGGCGACAAATGGTCGTACGGAGAATTGAAGAGCAGTTACGAAAACTTTCCTATAATATGCTGCCGCAACTTTTCGGAACATTTTTTTTTTTAATCTTTTACACGATCTTTAAAAAACAGGGAAAAAATGGTAATTTATGGTTTTTTAGAAAATTTACGGCTTAATTAGAAATATTCACGAAATGACTAATGATTTTTACAGTCCGATATACCCAGAAAAACCCTGTGAAGTTTCATCTCGATCTAGCAAACCGTTTCTTTGTTTTAAACAGTCAAACTTTTGAAAAAAATTAAAGGGTCGCGTTTTTTGAGCTTAAACACTTCATAATCATGATTAAAATGAAAAAAAAAATTGTTGAAGTTTTCTCTCATTTTTACCGCAAATAACGTTTAAATTGATGATTAGCTAGGTCGAAATGAAACTTCACAGGGTTCTTCTGGGTATATCGAACTGTAAAAGCATTGCTTAACATTAGTCATTTCGTGACTATTTCTAATTTAGCCGTCAATTTTACAAAAAACCATAAATTAGGTACCCCTTTTTTCCCTGTTTTTTAAAGATCGTGTAAAAGATGAAAAAAAAAAAATCCGAAAAGTTGAAGCAGCATATTATAGGAAATTTATTCCAGTTTTCGAAACTGCCCTTCAATTCTCTGTACCACCATTTGTCGCCGAGATATCGATAATTGAAGACAAAATGATCCTTTTCCATTAAAAGTCCTATATGTCGATGAAAAATGGTCGTATCTAAATTTAAAAAAAAAGGAAATTGAAGCTGAATAAACAAGCTATCTGGTCCATGCAATGGCTTAGCTGAAAATTTTTTTCCAAATCCGTGAGCTATTTCTTAGAATTGCAAGATAACCGTAGCTCCTAAATAATTTCCACCGAAAGATCTAAAAATTAGAATCTTAGAGCTTCGAAATGCTTTTTTTTAATTCCCGATACGACCATTTTTTACATAAATACAATCTGTCAAAAATCACGGAAAAAATCGGAAATTCTTTTGACCCTTTAATTTTTTGCATTAGTTTATTATTATTATTTATTATTATTATAACATTTCAATATTGCACTATTTAATTTTATTATTGCCCATTTATCCTTATCCCCTTCTAAATATTAATTTTAGAAATATCCTCATAGTGTGAATATCAAAAGTACCTTGCAGTTTAAAATTTGGAAAAATTACCGGCACAACGAATCACGCCGTTTTGTCACCGTTGCAACATTTATCAAAATTGCAGTACACAGCTTTTTCTTAAAAAAAAAAAAATCAACAGCTCCCGCGACGATTGTCTGTGGTAATACTGTAAATATGTACAGATATAATTTGTAAGTAACCCACCTATACAGACTAGTAGTTTTAGTGACAATGTTCTTTTTATTTTGTTGTTTAATCCTTGTCTGAATTAAAAATCATGTTATAAATAAATATTCCAAAGTTATTCTCTAGAATAGCGAATGGTTTTAAGTATATGGCGATATTACGACCAGCAAACACATAACTTTTCACTTCATATTTAGTCAAAAAGTCAAAATTAACCTAAGGACTCTCTTAGGGCATAAAAATGTTTTTATGTGCATATTATAAACGATATATTTAAGTAATCATACTTAATTTATCCGCATTTCAAAATTATTAAAGCATTTAACTGTGTACAGTGCCCCTTTTTTGAACCGCACCTTGGGAGTTCAGTTATCTTAAGAGATACAAAGTTAACTAAAAACTGAAAATTTGTTTTTGTTTTAAATTTTTGTGGTAGGTTCCTTAAACTCAAACAATTTTACGTGGGAAATTCGAGCATGCAGCTTTTGTTTTTCTTGTTGGAACCATATTTGGTATTCGCATTTTTTAATTGAGCGCATTTTTCGGATTATGACGATTGTCATGTAATATTTTGTTTTCATCAATGACCAAAATATCCATTTTTACAAAAAGTGCTTTGACAACAAAACAATTAACTATTACTTTAAACGAAATTTCGACAATTCGATTATATTTCCACTGATAATTTCAAAATTTTGATAAATCAAAATGCAAGGAAGAAGAGTATATAGATATACGTCAAAATTATTGGTTTGAAGAACATCTAGCTTTGTTTAATGTGAATATTGCATCTGTTATTTCTGAACTTTAATAATATTGTCAATGAAAATTTAATTCAACTCTGAAAATTTTGGTTAAATCTATTTTTGAATGTGTTGTCTTCAAAATACTAACAAAAAAGCAAACCATATCATTCAAAATGCAAAATACAATACACATAAAAATTCTACACAAAATTGCCTTAACATTGTTTACTCTTTTCGTTTTCGATTACAATAATCAAAACGAAAATCAAAATGTTTCAGTTTTTCTTCGATAACTTGAAAATGAAAATAAAGGTCAAATTTCTCTACGATAAGTGTAGAAAAAAGACAAAAAAGATCCCGATGGTGTGTCTCGAAAAAAGGACACCCCCCCGTACACCAAAATAACCAACGTTCATGCAAATCTCTCTTGTTGCATTTCTCCCGGAAATTTTTCCAACATTTCTGCACCTCTACAATGCGTTGCATATAGTCTGGTTAACGTAAGAGCTTTTTATTCAAGCAAAAAATAATTGAAATCGCAAACTGTAATTCTTATAGAAACTTACAAAAGTTTTTAGGATTTGTAGACAAAGTTAAAAAGTTATAAAAAATAAAATATTAATTTTAATGTTATTTGGTATTGATATGCAATATTATTATATTAAATATAGGTTTATTTTCAAATTGAATAATACTTTATAAGGTGTCATTTACAAAACTTTAGAAAAGAACTAGAGACAACTTTAAAAATCCAAAATATGTTGTGATGTTATGGACACAACTAGACAGTGTATGTCTCTTGGAAGGCTTCACTAAAACTACTATTCTACCAAATTTGGTGTTGCACACTACACAACCCAATGTCAAAATGATAAAACACTAAAAATGTGCTCGTCTTTTGTGTTGCTTATGTGTGGCGTGTCTACAAAAACTTTCTCCAGCATGTGTGAGGTCTTGTCTTCTGTATAAAAACTATAAAGCATGTCTAATAAATGTTTATAACCTAAATAGTTCCACACTACCTTGCTTGTAAGTAAGATTTATTGTTTAAAACAAACCGTAAGGAAGCTCCTAAACAATGTTCTTTTTAACACACCACGCTTGTACGTCGGTGTCCTTTATCTTCCGTTTTGATCCTCAAGGAGAATTCTTTTTTTACCATTTCCTATCAATTTTTGGTTACTTCAGGAAGATAAAGGACGACCGATTTGTCCTCTTAGCAAACCGTGTATCGTTTCCCAAACGAGGGTGTCATGATTTTTCACGAATTTCCAGTGAAATCCGCACAAGGACTCATCGCTAAGGACAAGAGCGGGACGTCTGATCCCTACGTCACCGTGCAAGTGGGGAAAGTGAAGAAGCGCACAAGGACCATGCCGCAAGAACTGAATCCGGTGTGGGACGAAAAATTCTACTTGTATGTATTTTGCCAATTTTTTAATTCCTCTAAAGGTATCAAGATTATGTAAGTTGCTAATGAAAGACGTTTATGATGATTCGTTGTACAGAAATATAGATTATTTTGGTTTGAATGGCAATTAAAGAAGACCATTGTAATTAATTGACAAAGCTACTGTTGAAAATGAATAGGTTCTGCTAGAAAAAACTCACGTCAAATTAATTTCCCTTTAATAAGTCTCAGTTTATTCTAAAAAATCTGTGCGATTTATTGTGGAAATTAAGCACAATTTCATAATTGTGGCATTCAATTCGATGAATCAGCTTAAGCAGTATTTCATTCTGCATAGACAGCAAGAAGGGCCCTGTTAACATAACAAGCAGAGTGACGTTTATTAAATTTAATTAAATCATTATGGAACTTTCTCCAGGATTTGAAATAGTAAGCAAATTTCGTTGAGTACTCAGTCAATGTGACGAATTAAATGTTGAATTCCACTCTTTTTATACTAAAGGGAGAGAATAAGCTAAAAAATGTTGTTAATTCTGCTCACGATTGTTAGTTTAGTTGCGGTTCAGAATTTTTTAACACTTCTTGACACCATGTATATCACAATAGCATTAGATACAGAACAGTTATGCATTTACTTTTAGCAATAGCCAACCGCATCCGATTTGTATTTGGAAAAAAAAAGAGAAACGTCTACACCTAACTTTTTTAAACTGCTGATTTCTAATAAAAAATACAGAGCCCCACAAAAAAAAGTGGAGGGTCCTAAAGACCATGGTAGCTACACGTTTTTGGGGTCGTTGAATCCGAATCCGGTGTTCGTTTGACCCGATTAGCTATGATTGAAGGTCAGTTCAAGGTCAAATGTAGAGAATCGAGCGTTAAGGGTAGTTCAAGGTCAAGTGTAGAAAATCAATTGCCAGCAAAGTAAACCAATGTATTTTGGGATCGCTGAATCCGAATTCGGAGTCCGTTTGACCCGATTAACTCTGGTTGAAGGTCAGTTCAAGGTCAAATTTATTGAATCAATTGCCAACAAAGTGAACCTACATATCTACATGTTTTTGGGGTCAGTGAATCCGAATCTGGTGTCCGTGTGACCCGATCAGGGCTGCATTAAGGTCAGTTCAAGGTCAAATGTAGGGAATCAATTCCCAGCAATGTAAACAAATGTATCTCTACGTTTTTGGAATCGCTGAATCCGAATTTGAGGTCCGTTTGACCCGATTAGCTCTGGTTAAAGGTCAGTTCAAGGTCAAATGTAGAAAATCAATTGCCAACAAAGTAAACCTACAATCTACACGTTTTTTGGGTCGGTGAATCCGAATCCGGGGTCCGTTTGACCCGATCAGGTCTGCGTTAAGGTCAGTTCAAGGTCAAATGTAGGGAATCAATTGCCAGCAATGTAAACCAACGTATCTATACGTTTTTGGGGTCGCTGTATCCGAATTCTAGAACCGTTTGACCCGATTAGCTCTGGTTGAAGGTCAGTTCAAGGTAAAATGTATAGAATCAATTGTCGACAAAGTAAATCCATATATCTGTATGTTTTTGGGGTTGCTGAATCCGAATCCGGTGTCCGTTTGACACGATCAGATCTGGGGGATCTTAAGGTCAGTCGGATCATCACATGCTTATGTGGTGGTCTCGCAAACTGTATCTGGGGGCTTTTAAAATGCCCCAACATCAGATGTCTGATACTGTTAGCACTGTCAACAGTAGCTTTTGAACAATAAAATAGGAATAAAGGTAGATGGAACTGAAAATCACACTTTATTTCTTACTTTTATAATAACGAGCGTTCAAATAAAAACGTGGTCAAGTTGGTTCTGAAAATTTGGACGTAGGGCGTAGCGTATAGCAAATGAACTTAAACGTCATCTGTCAAAGCGCTATATCGCCGCTATCAATTTGAATATTTTCGTTTTAAAAAGCGTTTAAAATGGTGTTTTCTCAAGAACAAAAAGTGTTTATCATAGAGTCCTACTTTAGAAATGGACGCAAGATTGATGGAATATGGAAGTATTCTATTGAGGAATGTTTCATAGAATTTCAAAATCAATTTCCCGGCGTTGTTGAGTACAAAATTTTTCAAAGTGCAGTTCAGCGTTGTGTTAATGTTTTTCGTGAAACGGGCAGTGTAACAAGAAAAGAAGGAAGCGGCCGACCTAAAAAGCGGACTGAAGAATTAAAAGAAAATGTCCAACAAATAATGGAAAATGCGCCAAGAACTTCTGTACGTGTTTTATCACAAATGGTGGGAGTATCAGTCGGTACCTGCCACACAGTGTTAAAAAAAGATTTGCGTTTGTTCTCCTATCGTTTAACTTGTCAGCAAGAACTTCATGAAGTTGATTTTCCGCGACGGGCTGTATTTTGTGAATGGTTTTTAAACAACTACGGTGAACTTCATAATATCACCTTTTTTTCTGATGAAGCCTGGTTTCATTTAAGTGGTTACGTAAACTCACAGAATATGAGAATGTGGTCTTCTGAAAAACCAGATAACTTTTTTGTCGAGGGCCCTCTACACGCTCAAAAAATTGGAGTTTGGTGTGCTCTCAATCGAAGGAGGATTTATGGACCTATTTTTTTTAATGGTACTCTTACTGCGCAAAGGTATAGAGAAGAAATTATCGCTCCTTTTGTTAACCAGCTGGAAGAAAACGAAATTACAAACTTTTACTTTCAACAAGATGGCGCAAGGGCACATACGGCAGGCGAGACGATGAATATGTTGAGGGAAGTTTTCCAAAATCGACTAATAAGTCTCAATGCTGAACATGAATTTCCACCGAGGTCATGTGATATTACGCCGTGTGATTTCTTTTTGTGGCCTTACCTTAAAAACACTATTTTTGAACTGCCTATTCCTGATTTAAACCATCTGCAGGCTCGACTTATAGACAAGATTCGTGAAATTAACAATACCCCGAGCATCTTAGAAAATGTCTTTAATTCTTTGAGGAACAGGTGTGAAAAGTGCTTGGAACAAGGAGGGGGACACTTTCAGCAGCTGCTTTAATTTATTGTTATAACAAGGAGGGGGACACTTTCCGCAGCTCCTTTAATTGTTTGTTATTGTTATCACGATTATTCTTTAAAATAAAGTTATATAGTCATTAACGTTATTGAAACTGACAGCTGCTATACAGCTCGTTGAGAAATGAGGTTAAGTTGGTCGCTATAAGCTACTCCCTACGTCCAATGTGTCAGAGCCAACTTCGACCACGTTTTTATTTGAACGCTCGTTACATAAGTGAGTAAGTTTTGATTATAAATTCGACTGCACTGAAAGTATCAGTTTTATTCTAGAAAGCTGGAAAGTAATCTAATATTTATTCCTTTGAAGTGGTATTGTTATTTTCATGTACTCCTACTTTATTAGCTTGAAAATGCAATTCTTTATCATAACAAAATACTTGGCACCAGTGAGTAAAAATTTATTAGTATTTTAAACGTTAATTTAAATTAAACTTAGTATTCTTAAGGTAAGAGTACCCACATGTTATTTCTTCTTAAGGCGACGAATATTGTTTAAACAGCAGGAAAACAAGCTAATTCGTTACTAAAACTGGTCTCCAATCAATCTATATTTCTAGGACAAGAAACAGAAATATTTATTAACAGTTTAACTTTCTCAACATGCGAATCTAACCGATTTTTCTAGTATAATCTCTAATTGAACCAATCATATTATCCATAATTTGTTTTCTCTGCTTTGCCGTTCTTCTCATAAAAAATGAAAAACAATCCCAAAACCCTGCCCTTGTTTTTGCGCCTCACCAATCTATTTTTTTATTCCAGTGAGTGCCACAACTCGTCGGACAGGATAAAAGTTCGAGTTTGGGACGAGGATAACGACTTAAAAAGTAAACTCCGACAAAAACTGACCAGAGAATCGGACGACTTCTTAGGTCAAACTATTATAGAGGTAAGCGTACGAAATAGCTTGCAAGTCACGGGGTGTACGAAATAAAAAATTGTATTTATTGACATTGAATTCATATATTTTTTCACCAGGTACGCACACTGTCAGGCGAGATGGACGTCTGGTACAACCTGGAGAAAAGAACCGACAAATCAGCCGTATCCGGCGCCATACGACTGCACATATCTGTGGAAATCAAGGGTGAAGAAAAGGTGGCGCCGTATCACGTTCAATACACCTGCCTGCACGAGAATCTCTTCCACTATCTCTGCGAGCAGAACAACGGGGTGGTTAGCTTGCCGCAGGCGAAAGGGGATGACGCGTGGAAGGTGTACTTTGACGAAGCGGCGGAGGAGATAGTTGACGAGTTCGCCATGCGATACGGGATAGAGTCCATTTATCAAGCTATGACGTAAGTTCACTTATCCAGTTTTGTTCGTTTAGTCTCAACGATTTTTTCTGGAATACCTTCAGTACAACTCGCATGATAAAAGTGTAGATCCTTAGATCTGGGCGAGGTCCGGAACATTTTCAAAATTGCAAAAATGTTTAAAAAATTTAAAAAAATACCTATTTTATCCGAGTTTTTTACTTATATCTTGGAACCTATGCATTTTGGAGGGATATTGAAGAGGAAAAAAAGTGTTAGAATTGAATTTTGCACAATATACTGTAAATTAAAAATGTTTAAATTTATTGCCGTTGTTGCAAAATTGCAATAATTGATGAAAAAAGGTAAAATAATCCAGTTTTTTCGGATATCTTTTTTAAATATTTTAATTGCTCCGAGGGGATTCTAATTTTGGTAAACTTTTGAGTATAATATAACAACACAACAAATTTCATTAAAATCGGTTAGATAGGTTCCGCAAAATATTTTTTTGAAAATTTTGCTAAAAAAAATTTCGAATTTTCAAAATGTTGCACAGCCTCAAATAAAGCATCCCGATACTTGAACATTTTTTCACATAGAAAAGACCGGTCAACCTTTCAAATGGATGAAAAATTGAAATCGGTTGATTAGGACGGCCACAGAAAGTTTCTATAATTAACACTCTTTTTTTATTTTTAAACAATTGGATTACATTTATCAAACTGCAATTTAGTTTATTTCAAAAATTATAATTTTAAAGGAAAGACGCTTCTTAAAAAAAAAGTTAAATTCCGTTTATTGGTTCTCGAGATATAAGCGGTCAAAGATTATCGGCATTTACCGTTAATTTATAAACAATTTATCAATAATCTTTGATCCAGTGCCTTCGTTTTTCCGAGTTCTAAGCTGGAACAAATTTTCGTATCATAAGTTATCGGCAACATAGATAAATCAGCGGAAAAGGTGGGGGAGGGGGTTTCCGCTCCGAGACTGAATTCGGAGGTTCAAAATGCGAAGGTACGAAAAAAATTGCATTATCTCGGCTTCTAATGGACCAATTTCAATCTTTTTTTAATCCGATGTCTCGCGAGCCAAGGAATTCGAATATCGTAATGCCTGTCTAATTTGCACATATTTTGTTATAAACAAAGTTTATTATTTATGCATTAAATATACCTACTGTATATTTTACCCTATGCTATTGCATTTTTTCAATGAAAAAATTTGTATATAACGTATATATTTCAACATTCTGAAAATGAATGTATTTAGTTATAATTATTACAATTATTTAAATGATTTTGTTCAAACAAATTAAAATAAAAAAAATTATTTGGATTTTTTTTTTGTTAAATACAGATAAAATTAAGAAAAAATAGTACTTTAAAATTATAATTTTTGAAAAAAACTAAATTGCAAATTGTTAGATGTAATTTAATTGTTTAAAAATTAAAAAAAGAGTTAACTTTAAAAATTTACTGTGGTCGTCCTAATCAAACGATTTCAATTTTTCAAAAACCATTTGAAAGGTTGAGTGGTCTTTTCTATGTGAAAAAAATTTTTTAAGTATCTATATGCTTTATTAGAGGTTGTGCAAAATTTTGAAAATTAGAAAAAAATTTTCAAATTATTTTGCGAAAACTATCGAATCGATTTTAATGAAATTTGGTGTGTTGTTTTATTATATTATAAAAAATTTTTACCAAAATTAGGATGCCCTCGGAGCAGCAAAACCTTGATTTTTTTGCCTTTTTTTTCATCAATTATTGCTACTTTGCAACAACGGAAATAAATTTAAATATTTTTAATTTGCAGCATATTGTGTAAAATTCAATTTTAAAACTTTTTTTCCTCTTCAATATTCTTCCAAAATGCATAGGTTCCAAGATATAAGTAAAAAACTCAGATAAAATAGATACCTATTTTTTAAAATTATTTGAACATTTTTGCAATTTTGAAAATGTTCCGGACCTCGCCCAGATCTAGGGATCTACACTTTTATTTGAATTGTAAAGATAATCCAGAAAAAAATTTCTTGCCCCCTCTCACATCGACCTCAAAGCAGATCCGCCCTGATCTAATAGGAAAATTAGTTATTTAAGATGTAGGCAATTAAATTACTTAAAATTTAACGTATCTAAAGTTATATTTCACCACTTTGGTAACTGTAAAATAAAGGTCTAACGCGGAAAAAACAGTTTTCGAAATTTGCTCATTATTACTACAAAAAGCAATATATGTTGATGAAATTTATTGAAAAGACGGTCGATCCAATGACCAACACATGTGCTAAAGGCGGATTCGATTGACCATGAATTTGTTGCTTCAGGTGTTAACTAAGTTAGTATCGTAGATATAGGTTCTAATGATCCAAAGAAACATCAAAACAATTTCAAAAAATCGATATTAAGTTGCACTTTACAACTAACAAAGTAAGATGTGCAAAACGGCGATATAAATAGTCCCAGGGTCGGGCTAAAGCCGCTCGGGAATTCACTCTTTTTGCATTAGGCTTTCCCATTGAACAGGTAAGATCCGGAGATCGCGGTGGCCAAGTATGGGACTTCAAGCTATTTTCGAACTTCCCAACCTAGAATCAAATTAATTTTCAGTAAAAATTTCGTTAAGATCAATATAATGTAACGAGCGTTCAAATAAAAACGTGGTCGAAGTTGGCTCTGACACATTGGACGTAGGGAGTAGCTTATAGTGACCAACTCAACGAGCTGTATAGCAGCTGTCAGTTTCAATAACGTTAATGACTATATAACTTTATTTTAAAGAATAATCGTGATAACAATAAACACTTTTTGTTCTTGAGAAAACACCATTTTAAACGCTTTTTAAAACGAAAATATTCAAATTGATAGCGGCGATATAGCGCTTTGACAGATGACGTTTAAGTTCATTTGCTATACGCTACGCCCTACGTCCAAATTTTCAGAACCAACTTGACCACGTTTTTATTTGAACGCTCGTTACCTTTAATTATTTTACCTTCTAGTCCATACCCATTTCTTTAATTTCTGTTTTTATAAAGCTCGTTGTTTCTTTACTCTTAAGATATATGAAACGGTTTTAGAGAAATTTGGTAAAAAGTAAAAGCACTCAGGAGAATGAGTAAATTCGTTATTACAAATCTTGGTTTCACCGTTTAGAAAAGAAAAGCATTTATTTTGAATTATACTTTAAACGTAACGAGAGTAAGCGGGAAAAGCTACGAGAAACTTTTAACTTTTCGCTAAATAAAAGAGAAGGTAGAAAAAGGAAAAATACATTTTTGGTGATGGATAAAGCGGACGTAACTTTTAAAAACACATCAATAACGAAATATGAAATAGCGCCGAAACGTCCCCGATCGCTGAAAAATACAGAAAGCGGACTTCTGAAAGAATTACGACTATCGGATTTCGACGCGATTCGGTATTTAAACTCGCTCATTTATCAACGGGCGACACATGTAGGTCTGTATTTTACTTTTCCTGCATTTGCAGTGATATATGATGACTTTGAACGGTCTAATTTATCTTTGACGTTGTTCACACGAAATTATGGGAATCTATTAATAAAGATGGATGTCGATTTCATGGCATATATCCGTGTATATACCTTAGATAGCTCTGAATTTCGCTAACGGTTGCAGTTATTCAGTTTTGAAACAGCAAAATCAATTTATTTTTAAAACTCAAACTCTTAAATTATTCTAACTGACTGGAAAATTAATCGAAACTTTTTTACTTATACAGGGTAGCCCATCGAAAACGTACCGCAAGGCATTACGGGGTAGTAAAGAACTTTTCGGCAAAATCCAATGACAGGTCAAATTTGTTTCTGAGGGGGACAACTTTTGGCTCAAAAAGCATACCAAAATCTTCAACCCCCTAAGTGGGGGTGCTATTCCCTAAATTTTTTCAAATGGGAATGGGGCTCAAGTGGGGGGTCATTAGAAAGGGCTTTTAATTCTCTATACATCGATTCTTACTTTTTGAAAATCGATTCATTATTTTAGAAAATATGCAGCTTTGAAAATACGAACAATATTTTTGACGAGAAATGCGAAAATCGATTTAATTTTACTTCAAAACTTACGGTATTAGTCAAGTAAATGCTGAAAATGTTGTCCGCCAACTTGCATACAATGATACAGGTTGTCTTCAAACCGTTGTCGAACATTCTGGAGCACTTGCGGTGTTACTTCGCGACATACATTAATGATTCGTCCTCGCAGATCTTCCAAGGTATCAGGTGGAGTGCTGTAAACTTTGCTTTTAATGTGCCCCCAGAGAAAGAAATCTAAAGGATTTAAGTCGGGTGACCGAGGGGGCCACTCAATTGCACCTCTTCGTCCTATCCAGCGTCCTGGAAACGTCTCATTTAGGTAATTGCGCACATTGAGCGAGTAATGTGGAGGAGCTCCGTCTTGCTGGAAAATCAGTTCGTGTTCATTGTAAGCAGGGTCGTCCTCTATGATATTTGTTAGAGCTGGGTCGATGACATTTTGTAGTAAATCCAAGTACATATCGCCTGTCAAATTTCCAGGAAGGAAAAAAGGACCTACAATGGAATTTCCAAAAATACCTGCCCATACATTCAACTTCTGGGGGTGTTGGGAGTGTGTCTCATGGAAAATCCTTGGATTGGTATCAGCCCAGTAACGACAATTATGGCGATTCACTAAACCATTCAAGAAGAACGTACACTCGTCCGAAAAACACACATTAAAGAGGAAATTATCGTTTATCGCTCGTTCAGTCATTATTTCGCAAAATTGCAAACGACGATCAAAATCGTCTTCATTTAGCTCTTGCACTAGCCGAATCTTATAAGGATGGAATTTGTATTTTTTTAATATTCGTTGGACACTTGTACGACTCACTCCTGTCGCAGTAGCCAATTGCATTGTACTCAGCGTACTATCCATTGCCACTTGCCCCAATACCGCTATTTCCGTAGGTTCATTTAGTACCGGATTTTCAACCTGCCTCTTTTTGTTATGAACGGAGCCAGTTTCGCGAAATTTGGCCACCAATTCGCGAACAATTTTTCCAGACGCATGTTTCTCAGGATGCCGTTGGTTGAACAGTTCGGCGACCCGATTTCCGCATTCATTGTTTTTGAAAAAAAGCTCAATAATTTCTACTCTTTCTGGAATTGAGTACACCATAATTAATCAATTTAAAAGACTCGGCAGTATTGGTACTCTTCAACTACAAGTCACAAGACAGTTATCTAGCAACTTCTTGTGGCCTATCTAAATACGAAACAAAAAGCGGACAATTTTTTGCTCACCAAAATCAGGCTAAAGAATTCGCAAATCAGAAAAAAAAAAACAGCGAATTCTTTTGAAGGAATTTACCAAGCTAATACCGTAAGTTTTGAAGTAAAATTAAATCGATTTTCGCATTTCTCGTCAAAAATATTGTTCGTATTTTCAAAGCTGCATATTTTCTAAAATAATGGATCGATTTTCAAAAAGTAAGAATCGATGTATAGAGAATTAAAAGCCCTTTCTAATGACCCCCCACTTGAGCCCCATTCCCATTTAAAAAAATTTGGGGAATGGCACCCCTACTTAGGGGGTTGAAGATTTTACTATGCTTTTTGCGCCAAAAGTTGTCCCCCTCAGAAGCAAACTTTACCTGTTTTTGGATTTTGCCGAAATTACTACTACCCTGTAATGCCTTGCGGTACGTTTTCGATGGGCTACCCTGTATAAACAAATATTATGTGCAATCTATCTAAATTCTGTGTAACAAAATCTTTTTTTTTTTCAGACATTTCCACTGTCTCTCCACAAAGTACCTTTGCCCCGGGGTACCAGCCGTTATGAGCATGTTACTGGCAAATATAAACGCTTACTACGCACACACCACGGCATCGTCGGCTGTATCAGCTAGTGACAGATTTGCTGCCTCCAATTTCGGGGTAAGAATTCGTTTGACACCAATTATGATACAATTATATCCTTATAAGGGCATACAGTGTGTAACAGCGACGTGACAACAAATCTTCAGGACTGACCGATGTTTTTAACTGGTGACATCGCGAGAACCAACTACTCTGCGAGCTAATACCCTGACCAGCACTGAATCGTCATCATTAGTCAGCGGAACCACCAGACATATACCGGTTGGCCAGTACATCATTGTTCCTGTAGAAATAAATGAATACTTTTTTGTATTCATTACTGAAGAAAGTTATCTTTCTTGTACTTTGAAAGATAGCGAAGGCCTTTTTTGAGGAGAATAGTTTGTTGCTGTTACACATTTTCCGTTCAAGTTATTATTCACAACTCTTTAATTCTCCCAAGTAAGTCAGCAGTTTTCATGAGGAAATTCGCGCAAAGTAATATAAGAACAGATGCATATCTTGGCGAACTTCAACCGGCATATTAAAACTTTTATTTAATAAATATATTAATCCTCTTCGAAATTAAAAGTATGTCATAACTCCTTTGGTAATAATTTGATCAGATAAAAGTCACAAAGTCCCACCGACTGCGACTGTTTCATTATAAGTTTCTTGAAATCTGAACTTTAATTAAAAAAGAAAGTATATAAAACTGCAATGCGTTCACAACAAAGAAGTGTTCCTAGTTCGTTGTAAATCATTTTTGCAGCAGCAGCAATCCAATTAGACAAATTAGAGAAATTTTCCAGCAAAGGAAGCAGTTGCGCCAGTGTTCCTCGTTATTGAAACGTTAGCGACCCATTTTCTTGCAGTAAGTTCGTTTGTACACTCCTGTACAAATTGCCAAAAGAAATTAAGGAACATTAAAACAGTTGAAATAGCCACAACATTAGAACGTCTTATAATAATTGCCATAATTTTTTTCCTCCCACAGAAAGAGAAGTTCGTGAAGCTGCTCGACCAACTCCACAACTCCCTCCGGATAGACCTCTCGATGTACAGAAACAACTTCCCAGCCTCCAGCCCGGACAAACTGATGGACCTCAAGTCCACCGTCGACCTCCTCACCAGCATCACCTTTTTCCGGATGAAGGTGCAAGAACTGTCCAGCCCCCCCAGAGCCAGTACCGTCGTTAAAGACTGCGTCAAGGCCTGCTTGCGATCGACATATCAGTTCCTCTTCGAGAACACGTACGAGCTGTACAACAGGGAGTTCCAGAGCGATCCCAACGAGCCGAAGAGGGACCCGGAGGACCACGGACCAAGACTGGATAGCGTAGACTTCTGGCACAAACTCATCGCCCTCATAGTGTCGGTTATAGAAGAGGACAAGAACAGTTACGGACCGGTGTTGAACCAGTTCCCGCAAGAACTTAACATCGGGCAGGTGAGTGAAGTTGTTGCAATGGAATTGGCTTGTTTGTCTAACTCAGAAATTGTTTCCATCTTCATCCACCTAGTTTTACATTCATGAGACACAGAATTAACAACCCCATTTCTGATTATTTGGTGGTCAAATAACTCTCGAATAAATTTAGTCCACTTTTTAAAGAAGAGATCATCTAACTCGAAAGTAAATTCCAAATCATCTTTGCTGATTGGTAGTCAAATGATTCTTCGAGTCAATTCAAATACTTTGGGTTAATTTAGAGTAAACATTCTAAAAATAGAATGTAACTCAGAAATAATTTCCAAACCATCTTTAACTTTACACTTCGCAAGAAAATTACCTCTTTGCTGATTGTTTAGTGGTCAAATTACTTTTGAATCAATTTAAAGATCTTTTAAGACAATGTAAATTCCTAAGAAGAAATATCTTCCTCCAACATCCCTCCAAACCACCTTGGTTTTATGACTTTAAGAGACTGTATGAGTAGAAAAACAAAATTAGCTCCTTTTCTGGTGATTTGAGTCGACTCTGAAGGAAGAAACACAAATTTAACTCCATTTCTTTGTGGCCAAATGACTTTTGGGTGAATTTAAAGACACAATGTTATAAAATTATAAATTAGGTTACAATTTCCGACGACCCAAGAGTCAAGAATTAGAAGCAGTGCCTTCCAAATACAAGCCAATCAGCACATTTAATAGAAGCTGTCTAATAACACTGATACAAGTGACTTCTCCATCTGTGATTTTTCAAAAGAATTTCTTTTTTCAGCTGTCGGCGGCGACGATGTGGAGCCTCTTCGCGGTGGACATGAAGTATGCGCTGGAGGAGCACGAGCAGCACAGGATGTGCAAGTCATCAGCCTACATGAACCTGCACTTCAAAGTGAAATGGCTGTACACCAACTACGTGAAAGACGTGCCTCCCTACAAGGGCGCGGTGCCCGAGTACCCCGCCTGGTTCGAACCGTTCGTGATGCAGTGGCTGAACGAGAACGATGACGTATCATTAGAATATCTACACGGTGCCTTCAATAGAGATAAAAAGGACGGCGTAAGTCTGCCGTATCATTTTTTATAAGGATTAAATTTTGTGCGACTTGCAAACATTAATTCAACGGATGGTCTCCGCGTGACGTCATTTAGTGCGACCGATAATCGCGCCTGGGTCGCACTAAATGACGTCGCAATGGCTAAATTTAAACACATTTTTAAACTTCTATTTCTATGTATCGATTTTCCCCGTTTCAGTTCCAGAAGAGTAGTGAGCACTCGCTGTTTTCGAATTCGGTTGTGGATGTTTTTACGCAGCTGACGCAGTGCTTCGACGTAGTGTCGAAGCTGGAGTGCCCCGACCCCGAGATCTGGAAGCGGTACATGAAACGCTTCGCCAAAACCATAGTTAAGGTCCTCATAGCTTACGCGGACATCGTTAAAAAGGAGTTCCCGGAACACTTAAAGGAAGAGAGAATAGTAAGTAGATCTCTAATTTCCCGATAAAGATCATTGAACAAAATCAGCAAATAACTTCACTATTTTAATTTTAATTCAATCTCAGTTTTGATTTTTAATTTAATTCACAATTTTGAAGTGAAATTTTCTTGCCAAATACCGCACGTACTTAAATTATTTATACAGGGTGTTAGAAGTTTGACTGCCTTATTTTTAATAGACAATACAGCACATTAAAATAAACAAAAAAAATCGTATATGACATGGGTCCTAAATTCAATCATTTCCGAGAAAAAAAAATTTCAAAATCTCCAACTTGATGTACAAAAGTTCGATTAATTAAGGAATATTGACATAACTGCGTGCATAGAATATCATAAAATACAATGTCTTTCACATTTTTTAACTTCTTTATTAAAATTATTAGCGTTGTAATAAATTTAAAATTTGATAAAATTCATATCGAGCAATGTGACAAAGGCGCGGCGGATAAGACGAGCTACTAAGCTGTCCAGCTATACGCAATGTAGTCGGTATCTGGAATTAGACCGTATCTGAGTGTTTTTTGCGTAGCACTATTTCCTTTTCTTGAGGTGTTTTCCAGCGAGTGCGCGAAAATTGGATTCGTAGGTGTCTTGCGTGCATCGAAAATGGTGGTGAACATTTTAAGCATATGTTGCAGTATAACAACCCCGGGTTCTATCGAAAAAAAATAAATAAACGTAGTTGTGGCCAAGAATATGTGATCGTCATAAGGAATACCTACGTTGAATACATCTATTTTTAATTGACCGGAAGGCGCTGGCTACTAACTTTAAAGAGGGGAAGTATGGTTTAATTTTATAAAACAAAAGCAGAGTAAATGCACCTAACTTTATTATTTACGTACAACAGTCCTCAAATTAAACATGTGACAAATAGAATGAACAACAAAAACATTAACAACCATTTAACATAAAATGAGAGTGCCAGGCTCACCTAGAGCTCCTGTGGGGAAAGAGCATGGCAGAGAAACCCACGATCGTTGC